TCCCCTTAACCAAATGGTCAACGTTCACATCACTAAAAATGAGACAAAAAAAATGTGCATCCTCATATCATATCCTGAGTTGAACACATCACTTTTGTAGCATTCCTAACCAAAAAAGCATGGCCTGTATCAAATCAGAAAAAAAACCATTCAACTCAAATTGAGGGACAGTCTATAAAGCGGCCTATATCCAAATATTTCAATATCATGAAAGACAAATACCAAAGAATTGTTCCAGATCAAAGGAAATTTGGGAACCAAACATAATCAGAGATTTTCTATTGCCATTGAATGAACAGGCAAAACCAGAACCAAGATCTGTGGTTTATGAAATAGAACTATATCAATGTTAATGTTCTAGTTTTACAACTACATTAAGTTATGTGAAGGTATGCTTTTGTGTCTAGAAAATAGACACTGAGATGCTTAGAGGTAAAGAGTTACCATGTGGGAGAGGTCATGTTCTAGATAGGGATTAAGCAAACATGGTTAAGATGTTAACACAGGGAGTCTGGGTGAGTGGTGTTTGGATTTCTTTGTACTACCCTTGCAACTTTTTTCTAAGTCTGAAATTATATCAAAATAAAAAGTTAAAAAGCAATGCTTCTGTATGTCATTATATTTCAAAACTATTCCTACAAAATAATAAACATAATCAGTCAAAAGAAAATCATTTTCCTCCTTGTTTTATTTTGCCATCTATTCCCACTATTAATTATTCCAGTATATGGATAAAAAACATTCAGCAAGCACCATCATAATCTATCCTCGAAATCTATTAATACTTTTTAACTACTTTAAAGAGAATACCCTTTGGCCTTTCTATTAAATAAGTATTCAAGTTAGATCTAAAAACTTTGTTCATACTTCACAATAAATAGTGCTAGGCAGATAATACTTTCATCTAAAATCACAAAGCAGACAAAGTTTTTATCTTAACACTTAGTGCGATGGCCTTAACAGCAGACTAATTTATTACTTCTTTATCCTTGCTCCCAATGATTACTTAAGTGAAACAAAATGGTTTTAACTACTTCAAAATTCATTCTTCAATATCTATCATAAATCTAATTATTTAAAATATATTAAATACAAATACTTAAGTAATCACAAGTTTATAGAAACAATATCTACCTATCTGATAACCTCCTCCTGAAGCAAGCTGCCTAAAAATGAATCATTTTCAACCAAGATTTAGACTCCACAAGTACAATGTCATTTTATTTCAAGCTAACAAATCACCTATATTTATAGTATTGTGTCAAAACTTAGATAAGAAAATAATAGAATAAATCTTAATTCAATTATGCATTCTAAAAAATAAAAGCCTTTGAAAAATATTAAGAAACTACAAATTACAGCCATATAAGAATGACTTACATGTCTAGGAGAAGAAGAATCTGGTTGAACACTCTAAAAATGAAACAAAAAGACAAATTACTCTGAAGTCCTTCCTGATAACCTTACACGCAACTTACAAAATGCCTAAAAGGCTTTGAAGTAAATATTCTACAATCACAAAATGACCTCCAATAATTCTGTTCCACACATCAGTTCCAGATACTGATATCACTGTGATATTAAAAACTTCTCAAATCTTTTCCTGATAAGAGTCAAGAAGTAAGATTACTTATTTTCGTTAATTAATAATTTGCATCTAGCTTACAGTTTCTGAACTAGCAAATGGTAGACAGATTCACCTTAGTGCTTGGCTCCTTACTGTATATAAATATTTCTTTGCCATAGTCAAAAGCAAAGAAATTGGAAAAGAAAAATTAATCAGAAGATAATAATGTGCCATTTTTTAACTATTCCCAACTGTCTGCTGAATACACATATAAGAAAAGAGGCAAAGGCTTTGAGATATAAATCTGGATATAAATGTCATATATGGGGCACAAATAAAGTAATAAAAGAGGATGACTTCACTGGCAAGGAACTATAAACTGAGAAGGCAGCCAAATAAAACCCTGGAGAATTATCATAAATTAAGAAGTGGTCAAAAGAACAGAGAAACATCAACAAAAGAGAAGAGAGTCATCTAAAAAGCATGAGAATCACCAGGGTGGTATAAAATCTCAGATCAACAATGAGCACATAGCAGGAGGACAGTATCAATAGGTATTAAATGAAGTAGCCTCAAGGGAATAGAGACTAAGAAAAGGACATGGATTTAGCAATTAGAATGATGACAAGCAACCACAGGGACTGTAATTTCACTACAATGAGGAAAAAAGGAATGAGTCTTCAAGAAATGAAGCTGATGACTTAGGTGGCTCACTCCAGATATACAGCCATAAACGGAGAGAGAGAGAAAAAGAACAGCTTAGAGTACAAACAGCACTAAAGGCATAGTGTTTAGGATGCCTGAAGCCTCTGTAGGTTAGCATGCCTAAGGCAAACAAGCAAAGGGGATTTACTGGGAAAGAAAAGGAAGGAAACAGTTTGTGTTAATTATCTATACCAATTTAAATAGAAAGTGAAACTTTGGTTTTATGTTGAGTTGATTCTCTCATTTTTTTGAAAGTTTAAAATTAGTAACGTTTGGTTTGCTGAGTCACTATTAAAGAATAATGAAGTGACATTTATCTTCTCTTTTCAATGTTCCAAAGGAATATATTTATTACTTATGACAGACTTTAATAAATTTCCCCCACAGAATAGAAGACTCAAAAGATGAGAGTGGGAGAGTTAATGTTGCTGAGTTAAAAGGAAATAAATCTCGAGAATGCGAAGTCTTTAACAAATATACAATTATTTTCTTGTAATATAAAAGTTTTTCGGAAGCTCTATTTACATATAATTATAGTAGAACCTCCATAGTTGACCACCTCCTTACATTAACCTATGTTGACCTAATTTTCAGATCAGACATGCATCACAAGTACATATCAGTACTGCAGGCCTCACTCCGTATGTTGACCATCTCCATCTGTTCACCAGTTTGTTACAGCTCCTTGGGTGGTCAACTTACAGAGGGTCTACTATATTTTTTAAGTTTACATCCCTTTCTGTTTCTTATACAATCTTATATAAACATCCAAAAAAAAAAAAAAACAACCCTGAAAATTATTGTCTTACTATAAAGAGTGGTACAAAACATTCTGTTTTTTTAACACAAATATATACCATACTATGAAAAAAGATGCCGGTACCTTAAGTAGTGAGTACTGACAGCTGGCTATCACCAGGCAGAACTGGAAGACCCAGATATCTCTGAAGAAGCCTTGTATGAGCAGAATAGATCCCAAAAAAGCCACAAGAATAGCCAGGATGACAGCTAACACATTTTCCAGGATCTCACGATTTCTACAGATAGAAAAATTTATAAGTATATTATGAATATAAGAAATTAATCAGACTGAAAAGCAGGAAGATATCAACATGAAGCTCATAATATGCTGAGGTCCATTTTTGGTACTGAGTTTCAATAAGGTTTTAGATCATACTAAGAAAAACTAGCTTCATGTGGACACTTAACACAAAACTCATATACAAATAAAACTGCTCCAGTGAACTGCAAAGTTCTAATTACACTATGTAATACAGTTTTAATTTCTATTTTAAAAAACTTTATTCTCTTTTACATCTGTTTTTAAAAACAGAAAAACTAGCTTCATGTGGACACTTAACACAAGTCTCATATACAAATAAAACTGCTCCAGTGAACTGCAAAGTTCTAATTACAGTATGCAATACAGTTTTAATTTCTATTTTAAAAAACTTTACTCTCTTTTACATCTGTTTTTCTGTTATATTTGTGGCAAAACAGCTAACAAACTTGGATGGCAAATAAAGTAGATATGAAAAGAATCACGTTAAGTTTAAAAAACAAAATCTCAAAATAGTTTCCAAAAAAATTGAATTTAGTCTTGGCACCTGTATCTCAGCAGCTAGGGCGCCAGCCACATATACTGGAGCTGGCGGGTTTGAATCCAGCCCGGGCCTGCCAAACATCAATGACAACTACAATCAAAAAAGAGCCAGGCATTGTGGTGGGCACCTGTAGTTTCAGCTACTTGGGAGGCTGAGGCAAGACAATCTCTTAAACCCAAGAGTTTGAGGTTGCTGTGAGCTATGATGCCACCGCACACTACCCAGGGCTACAGCTTAAAACTCTGTCTCAAAATAAAATAAAATAAAATAAAATTGAATACATGTTATTTGGTAAGACTAAATTTGCAACCAAATTTGACATCAAGTGGCATTATTTCCCCCACCTCTTAGAAATCTGAAATAATCAAAACTCACTTACTAGAATTACCTAAATATAGGCTCTTACACATCTTCAGAATGAAGGAAGTAACAAAGGCCATCAATTCTGCCTCTATCAATGTCACTAAGACAATTCTATACTTTATTAAATTGATACTGTAAAAGAAATAATATGATGCCCAAGATATTACATACAGAAATGAAGATGATTTCTATTTCACACATATGCAAGATCTATATCTCATAACTTCTTTAGGAAATTTTAATTACAAAATGTTAAATACTTGCTAAAAGTCTTTTTAAAAAATATTAAATGGCATGAAAAAATGTTCATCACATTTTCTATACAAAGAAAGTATAACATAAAACCATGGGTATAGGAGGCTATAAGTTCTGTTATTTTAAAAAAACACACATATATGATTAAAAAGACAGTATACCAAAAATGATATTAGTAATAATGGTTTTCTCTCCATGGAACAATTATCGTTCGCCTCTGTCTTCAAAGCTTTCTATATTTTTAAAAGATAAGTAATCACTTATATAATCATAAAAGTTTAAAAATTATTAACCTAAAGATATATATATATAATTGAGCCTAAAAAATAAAATCCATAAACATCTCTGTACTACTTAACAGTTCTACCAGATTAAAATGCTCAACGGTATTTGCAAATCAATAAATTTCTGACATTTCTACTTTAGATGGCATTTCCAGATGTGCTAAATCCAATGACCACCTTCCAACCACTGTCCTGCCTACATACCTCCTTTGTCACTGAACACGTACGTTCCTTTGGTATTTTAAAATATTTTTCAATTTTGATGAATCCAATCGATCAATTTGTTCACTTATTGATCTTGTTTTGGGCATCACAGCTAAGAAATTTTGCTTATCCAAGTTCATAAGAATTTTCTCCCATGTTTTGTTTTTGCCTAGAAGTTTTATTGTAGGTCTCTAATAAATTTTTATAATATGACATAAGGTAAGAATACAAGTTTATTTTTATTTAGTTACTTATTTTTGAGATAGAATCTATGTTGTTCAGGCTGAAGCCATTCTCCCCATTCAGCCTCCTCAGTACCTGGGATTACAAAGCTCCAGCAACCATACCTGGCTATATTTTTTCTTTTTTGCATATGGAAATCCAATGGTTCTAGCACCATCTGTTGAAAAGTCTATCCTTTTTCCATTTCATTGACTCAAATATTATTTTGATATATTTGGGTCTAGAGTTTTCTTTGAAGGAAGGTTTCTAATGACATCTTCCCTTTAATAGATAAAAGACAATTAAGGTTATATATTTTTATCAGAATAAAATTTGATAATTTATATCCTTCAAATTTCTTTTAATAACTGTAGAATCTGGGTGGTGCCTGTGGCTCAGTGTGTAGGGCACCGGCCCCATATACTGAGGGTGGTGGGTTCGAACTGTTGTAACCATCGAGACCTGAAAGGACAGACTCAGACCCCACTTAAGTGCAATCGATTGGTGATTTATTTCCTCTGAGCAGGGGGCTGCTGCTCTGAGACAGTTGGAGGCCAAGTAGGGGGCAGGTTGTCTTTTTATAGTTTTTTTTGCATAGCTGAGCAAGCATGCTAGTACAGAAGCGAGATGTGGCCAGTTAGCTCAGGGCGGGGTTACAGCTTGGGAGTTACAATTTGGGTAAGTTTCCACCATTGTTTGTCCACCAGGAACTTGAACTTGGGACTTTTCGTGCTTCCTTGTTCTGAAGGCTGTTCTCAGAATTGACTCTGGGAGGGGAGGAGGGGACCTGGGAATGAGCTGGGAAGCCTGTTCTTGGAGTTGACCCTGGGTGAGGGAGGAGGCCTAGGAGATGGGCTGGGAACCTGCCCATTTCAGAACCCGACCCCAGCCAAACTGCAACAAAAAAATAGCCAGGCATTCTGGCAGGAACCTGTAGTCCCAGCTACTCAGGAGCCTGAGGCAAGAGAATCACCTAAGCCCAAGAGTTGGAGGTTGCTGTGAGCTGTAACACCAGGGCACTCCACAGAGGGCAATAAAATGAGACTCTATCTCTAAAAAATAAATAAATAAATAAATAAATAAATGTAGAATCTGTAGAAATGTATCCTGCATTCTTAATATTGGTAATTTGTTGTCTTTCTACTATTTCTGATAAGGCTGGTGAAAGATTTATCAATTAATTTTCTCAAAGAAAAGAGCTTTTTGTTTCTTTGATTTTCTCTATTGTTTTCCTGTTTCCTCACTGAATTGTTTTGTCCTTCCTATTTCCTTTCTTGGGCTTACTGTACTCTTGTTCTAGTTTCCTATGCTGGAATGTGTCACTGATTTGAAACCTTTCTTTTCAAACCCACATGGTACCTCACATTAGTGGCATCTCAAAATTCCATAAATACTGTGTTTTCATTATCATTCATTTCAAAATACTTTCTAATCTCTCTCTTGATTTCTTATTTAATCCATGAGTTATTTAGTTATGGTTTTCAAATATTTAGGAATTTTCCAAGGCTTTTTGTTGTCATTAATTTATAATTTAATTCTACCATGTATGACTTGAATCCTTTTAAAATTTATTTACTCTTGTATTATGGTTCAAACTATGGTTTATCTTAGTAAATGTTCATGAGCCCTTAGAGAAATATGTATTCTCCTATCATGGGTGGAGTGTTTCATAAATGTCAATCAACTCAGGTTGGCTGATACTATTGTTCAAGTCTATCAAAGCCTCACTGATTTTCTAAATAATTGTTCTAACATTCAAAGTACTGAAATCAACTATAATTGTCAGTTTGTCTCTCCTATTTCTATTGGTTTTTGCTTTAGGTACTTTGAAGCTATGTTAAAACACTTAGGAATGCTAAATCTTAATTGACCACTTATCTCTATGAAATGACCTTCTTTACCCTTAGTAATATTCTTTTTCTGAAATCTACTTTGTGTGACATTAATTCAGTCACTCCGGCATTCCTATTGTTAGCAACAGCATGTTGTAACTATCTTTTTCCACATTCTAACTTTTTAAATTTCAGAATATTACGAGGGTGCAAATGTTTTATGGATTGCTTTTATACGGCTGAGTCAAAGTTCTAAGTGTGCCCACCACCCAGATAGTGTACATTGTACCCATTAGGTATGCATTCACCCATCCCCCTCCTCACCTCCCCCCCACGGCACCTGCTTGATTTTTATTGATTTCCATCTGTGCCCATGACTACTGATTGGTTGGTTGCAATTTAATATTGAGCATATGTGGTGGTTGTTTTTCCATTCTTGTGATACTTCTTTTAGCAGAATGGTCTCCAGTTCATACAGATTGTTACAAAGGATGTCAATGTACTTTTTTAAGGCTCAATAGTGTTATATGGTATACATTTTACTACTCCCCTCATGAATTCATGGGCATTTGAATTGATTCCACCTCTTTGTGATAATGAACTGTGCTAAAATAAACATTCAAGTATGCGTATTTTGTGATAAAATGACTTTTTGTTCTTTGGGCAAATCCTAGCGGTGGGACTGCTGATCAAATGGCAGGTCTCCCGTTAGTTCTTTGAGGAATCTCCATACTATCTTCCATAGATTTTGGACTAGTCTGCAGTCCCACCAACAGCATATAAGTGTTACTTTTTCTCTATATTCATGCCAGCATCTATTGTTTGGATTGTTTTTATAAAAGCCATCTTACTGGGGTTATAGGTGATACCTTGTCATGGTTTTGACTGTTTTTCTGATTATTAGTGTTGTGAAGCACTAATTGTGTGGAGCATTTTTTTATTAGCCATTAGTCTATCCTCTTTTGAAAATCTTCTCTTGATGTCTTTTACCCACTTTTTAGTGGGGTTGATTTTTCATACTGATGTGCTTGAGTTCTTTATAAATTCTGTTTATTAACCTTGAATTGGATATACAGCGTGCAAATAATTTCTCAAATTCCACAGATTATTTGCTTTGTTGATTGTTTCCTTGGCTGTGCAGAAGCTTTTTAATTCAATCATGTCCCCTTTACTTTTACTGTGATTGCCATTTGGGTATTCTCCATAAATTCGTTGCATAGGCTGATATCTAAAGAGTTTTTTCCACATTTGCTTCTAGAATTCTAAGGCTTCAAGTCTTAAAAATATTTAAGTCTATTATCTATCTTGAGTTGATTTTAGTGAGTAGTGAGATAGATCTTACTTCGTTTTTCTACATATGGATATCCAATTTTCCCAGCACCATTTATTGAATGGGGCTTCTCATCTCCAGGGAATATTGCTGTTTACTTTGTCAAAGATTAAATGGCGATCTGTGGATGGTTTTATATTTGAGCTGTTCTTATTCCACTAGTCTACATCTCCATTTTTGTGCCAGCACCATACTCTTTTGGTTACTATAACCTTGTAGCATAGTTCGAAGTTTGAGAAAGTGATGCATCCAGACTTGTTACTTTTGCTTAAAGTTCCTTTGGCTATTCAGACTCTTTTCTGCTCCTAAACAAAGCTCAGAATTATTATTTCTAGATCAGCAAAAACCAGTGTTGGTATTCTGATGGGGAACACATTGTATCTGCAAATCACTTTGGGTAGTATGGACATTTTGACAATGTTGTGTCTGCTGATCCAGGAATATGACCTTTTTCCTTTGTAAACATTATCTGCAATTTAATTCCTCAGTGATTTCTATTCTTTTTTTTGAGATCTTTCACTTCCTTCGTTAGACATATTCCTTGATATTTTATTTCCCTTACAACTATTGTGAAAGGTATTGAGTCTCTGATTTAACTCTCAGCTTGACTGCAGTTGTATAGAAATTTTACTGATTTGTATATAATGATGTAAACTGAGACCTTGCTGAATTTATCAATTCCACAAGTCTCTTGGAGGAATCCTTGGGGTTTTCTACATGTAAGATCATATCATCAGCAAAGAGTAAATACAGTTTGACTTCCTCTTTGCCCATTTGGATACCATGATTTCCTTCTCTTGTCTGACTGCTCTGGGTAGGACTTCCACCACTGTGCTGAACAGAAGTGGTAACAGTGGGAATCCTTGTCATTTCCAGTTCAGAATGGAAATTCCTTCAACTTTCCCCATTAAGTACCATGTTGGCTGGGGGTTTCTCACATTTTGAGATATGTTCCACCTACGTCTATTTTGTTAAGTACGTGTTCTCATCACAAAAGGGTGCTGAATTTTGGGAACTGCTTTTGCTACATCTATCAAGATGACCATATGATCTTTGTTTTTGCTTCTGTTTATGTAGTGAATCATATTTATAGATTTATGTATGTTGGACCATCCTTGTTTTATCCCTGAGATGAAGCTCACTTGGTTATGGTAAATTATCATTATTATTCTTTTTAATGTATAAATGAATTCAGTCTCTCATATTTCTTTTGTATCATATGCTTATTTACAATCCACATTTGGAATTCTTTATCTGACATTTCAATATTCTGATTTGGTTGGTACCCATTGCTAGAGAGCTTGTGGTTCCCTTTTGGGAGTGTCCTTTGGGTCGGATTCTTCACACTTCTGGAGTTCTTTTGCTGATTCCTTCTCATCTGGAGCAGCTGTGGTTTCTTATTTTTTGATTTTCTTTCCTTATCTTTTTACTTCTATTTTTATACTTAAAGTACATTTAAATAAAGTATATTTAGATAAGCAGTATAAACTCTTATTTTCTTTTAATTGAATCTGACTATTTCTGATTTCTTGCTCTATATCTTGTTATTTGTTTCCTTTCTGTCCCACCTATTCTTCAATCTTTTTCCTCTTTTTGAGCCTCTGTAGATTAACAGTAATTTTTATAATCTATTTTATCCCCCTTTTCAACATATTAGCTATATATCTTATAATTTTAGTGGTTGCTTAGGCTTTATAATAGACAGGCTACCTTCAAGTGATGATATACCATTTCACATATAAGAAAATTATAGTAGTATACTTTAATTTCTTCTTTTCTAGGCTTTATGCCATTATTGTCATAAATTTTACTTTTATATATGGTATAAACTGCATAATATACTGTTACTTTTTTTTTTTTTTTTTTGCAGTTTTTGGCCGGGGCTGGGTTTGAACCCACCACCTCCAGCATATGGGGCCAGCGCCCTACTCCTTTGAGCCACAGGTGCCACCCTACTGTTACTATTTTTAAGTAGTCAATTATCTCTTAAAGAGATTTTGTTGATTAAGAAAATCTTTTATATTTATCCATGTACTCAACTATTTCTAGTACTCTCTGTTCCTTTGGAAAGGTCCATATTTCCATATGGTATCACTTTCCTTCTACCTGAAGAGATCTTTCAACATTTTTTGTAGTATGGGTCTATGCATACAGAATTTTTCCTCTTTTTCCTGGTCTGAAAATGTGACCTCCCTTTTTAAAAGATGTTTTTGCTGGGCATAGAATTCTAGGCTGACAGACCCCCACACACTCACACTTCCAACACTTTAAAGATGTGGCTCCACCCTCTTCTCTCTTGCATTATTTCCAACAATAGAACTGATATCTTCCTTATCCTTGCTTCCTTATACAAAACACGTTTCTTTCAAAATTTTTATTTTATCACTAGTTTTGAGCAACAGCTTGCCTTGGTATAGTTTTCTTGATGTTTCTTATGCTTGAGGTTCACTTGGCTCCTTAGATGTGTTTATATAGCTTTCGTCAATCTTCCAATGTTTTCCACCATTATTTCTTCAAAATTTTCTGTCTCTTTATCTTCTCCTGTTCCACAGCTTACTCTCATCTTGTTTTCATGCTCTTTTCACTGGAGACAGCAGTGAGGACAAGTTCTTTTTTTTTCTTCTTCTTCTTTCTGTTTTATTCAGAATAGCTCCCATTGCTACGCTTTCAAGTTCACTAATCTGTAATAATACAATCTACCATTAATCCTATTTAGTGTATTTTTCATCTCAGACATGGTTGTTTTCAATTCTGTAAGCCGATTTGTGACTTTTGAAAAAATCCTCTGTACTTAACTTTTTAAACATATGAAATACAGTTATAACTGTTTTAATGTCCTTATCTGCTCATTTTAATATCTATGCCAACTACCATTTGGTCTCAATTTATTATTACTCATTACAGGTCATATTTTCTCACTTCTTTGCATACCTGGTCATCTTTGACTGGATGCTAGACATTGTGAATCTTAACTTCTTGGGTGCTGGATATCTCTGGATTTCCATACTTCTTTTTAAGATTTGTTATGTTACTTAAAACTGATTATCTGAAGTAGTGCTAATGCTGGGGGTAATTATTCCCCACTACTGAGGAAAATCTTCCTGAGTATTCTACACAGGGAAAGACAGTAAAATGTAAATTATAAATGTCTCGAATCTGGCTGATGGGAATATGCATTATTCCCAGCACTTTGTGAGTGCCAGGAACTGTTACTCTATTGCTTTCATATGGCTCTTTCCTTGGTCTCAGATACTTTCCTCATGTATGTGAACTTATATTCTGCTGAACAGTCAAGGAGATTCAATGCAGATCTTCAAGGTTCTCTCTCCAAGCAGCTCTCTCCTCTCTGATGTTCTGTCCTATGGTTCTAGCTGTTGTAGTCTCCCTGGACCCTCAGCACAGTTTCCTCAACTCAGGAAGTCTGTGTTGCAGTTTAGGAATTTTCTCAAATCATTAAGTTGGGGCAGTGCTAGCCCTCACATTATCACCTGCCTTCTCTCAGAGATTACCATCCTTTGGTATCTCATCACCAATGCCCTGAAAACCACTGTTATGTGTATTCTGTCTGTTTTTTGTTGTTTCACATTGGAGGTTAAATCTAGTCCTATTACTACATGTTGACTGGAAGGAGCTATTGGTTATCAAGTCTGTAATACAGTACTTCAATGTGTTTACCATTACAAAGTAGTACTAAGAAACAGGGAAACAAAAGTTTCCTCTTATAGTATTTATATACCTAGGATCATATTACCTATAACCTTAAGAGCATCAACATTTCATACTGTCTGGTTTTTAAGTACTAGTTGTGTGAGTCTTAACTGATATTAAGAACGACGTCTTTGTATAAACATATTAAAATCGCAACAGAAAGGTATTTAATGGATTTAAGAGAGTCGATATTTAGAGGTCCTATTACCTTCAATTTTATCTCAAGAGGACAAAAGTAGAAAACATTTTCCAACATGATAACCAAGTAAAACCTCAATGAGTAATCAGGGACACTTCAACTTAAAAATAAAATTGTGCATATCATTAGTATCACTTTATATTCTCACCTATCAAACAAGGCCAAAAGTGTGAGTCTGTCAAAGTTAATGCCGATCCATAGCTGGGGTAGTATCCAAAAGCGATAATAGTGTTTAACCTTTTGGGCAGCTTCTTCTGTTGGACCATAAGTAGCTGCCAAGTCAGGGCTTAGATCGATGTCCTGTTGCTCCAACAAATCTGTATCAATGGTCAATAGTCTATTCAATCGAATCTGTGGGAGAGAGAGCTGAAAGAAAGTCAGCATTGAAAGGCTTAAAATCTCTTCAGTCAAATCCTAATTCAAGAGTTACTCAATCAGCTTATCAAGTATCTCTACTCCGGTCCACTCCTTGTGAATGTGTGATGATCATTAGAAACTACAGAAGGCAACAACAAGAAGTGAACTAAAACAAAGTGAAGTAATCAACAGACGTTTGGAAAGGTTTTATTAGGGACATATTTAAAACCTTAAGATTTGATAACTGTTCAGCAGGTGAATCCACTAAAATCACTCACAGTGACTCCGTAGTGGTTGCTCTTTTCCTTGACCATCTGTGTCTTTTCTCACTGAGCTATGAGCCTTATTATTAGTATCAAATGTGAACTCCATGGAATTAGATCCAATGCTTTCAACTCTCATTTCTTCCCACAGTCTCTTACCACTGTTGTTACTGTGTTCAAGTCCTTTATCCTCAACTGTTTTGGCAGGCTGCTCACCTAAGGCTATACAAGAAATTACGTTCTACATTCCTTTTAGCTTTAACTCATCCATGTACTAATTCACCAGCCTCTTCTTCCTCTGAAAGCACCACAAGTTTACTGTATCTGGCATAGTATTAGGTAGCGTTTTGCTATCTCAAGGCTCATACCATTTAAAAGTTGAAAATAATCATCTTCCCATTTTTGCTTTCCTATGGAATTTCCAGAACTACAGCAAAAAAATACAGTGAATCTTTATTTTTCAAACACATATATGGATGTTGCCAAGAAAATTTGCTTCTTGTATACAACGAAGGCATTTCTATGTCTAAGCATTGAAAAATACCTTTTCTCTTATACTCTACAGAAGAGTTTGTCAACTTTGGCACTATAGACATTTTGCCCCAGATAGTCTTTGTTGTGGGAACTGTACGGTTCATGGTAAGATGTTTAACAGCATCCCTGGCCTACAGCCAATAGTTACCAGTAAGTATGCCCCAGTAGTAACAAACAAAAATGTTTCCAGACATTGCCAAATATCCACTGATGAAAACCACTGCTCTAGGCCAAATCAAATCTGTTGTCTTAAAACCCTACTTATAATTCACCTTCAGGAAGCCACTAAAAATTAATCCCTTTGCACTACATTCATTTACATGTATTCATATTTGTAGTTTATAAGGATTTTAACCATTTTATCTATTCCAGCTTGAAAAAATATATATATACATACGTACACACACACATATATATACACACACATACTGATGGCAAAAGCAGTTGCTATTTTTTAAAAATCCCTACTCTATCTCACATGGCATACCTTTTTACATAGTATTGTCATTACTAAGCTTTGTACAGACACTTTAGTATATTAATAACTAATAGCAAATAGTTAAGAAACTACTTGCAAATCATTTTTAAAGTAAGGTTGCAAAATGGCACAATTAAAAATGCTACAGTCAGATTACGATGTTGGGAGAGTAAATGGACCTTTACATAACCTCAGAATGTATAATTCCTGATTCATAAATATTGCTAACTAAACCTTAAATTAACAGTGTTTTAAGTTTCTTATCAAGGAACACACAAGAAGAGATCCACTGGGGTACAGCAAAGGTGATTTTGCCATAGTTAAAAAAAAAATCAGTATTTTTAACTTCGCCAATTTTTCTGATTTTTATAGCTATTTATATAGATGCATATTTCAGATTTAATCTGAAAAATATATCATGTTATGAAAATAAAGGAAAACCTACCACATCATGTGGATAAAATCGAACTGAGGTAGAACTGGATACATGAGAATCCGTGTCACTAAAATAAAGGAGATTGTAAAGAATAAACTGTCAAACAGTAGAAAGAAAAATATTATAAATCCTTTAACAAATAGATGAGATTTACACAATCTTCACTTTTCCATGTTAACTTCAAACTACAAACTAGCACTTTCCTAGAGTTGTGATTAAGAGCACAGCCTCTAGGTCCCAGGGTCTACATTCCAATCTCCTCTTCAGCTGAATGGAATCTTAGACAAGTTACCTAACCTCCTTATATCCTAGTTTCCTCATCAGTACACAGAAGTTCTTATATTATGAGGCTCTTGTGAAAATGTTTAAATGAAGTAATACAGAGAAAGCAATTAACATATAAATAAACTTAAGCTACCCATATAAGAGCCAGTGCGACAATTCAGCTTCCACAGTTCACTCACATTTGAATTTCAAAATTTGAGGCTTTACCACATTATGGTGTAGGGAATTGTTCTCTTGAATTACATTAAACAAAACAGTACTTCTATTCTTCCATTCTTGTATTATTTTCACTGTTACAGAAATAGGTAATACTCTAATTTTTGATAATTAAATTTAATAATTTTTTGAGAGGGTGAATTCTGAAACTAGATTAAAAGAATTTAAAGAGAATACTTATCTAAATGTTCTATCTTTTCAGCATGCTGAACTGAACGACTATAAGATCTTTTTGTTGCTGCAATTTGGGGCCAGGGCCAGGTTTGAGCCCGCCACCTCCAGCATATAGAGTGGGCACCCTACTCCTTGAGCTACAGGCCCACCCTGACTATAAGATTTTATTGCTTTGACTAGCCCCTCAACACTTAAAAGATAAGAAAACTGCCCATGGATGAGCAACATTTAAATAAATGTGACCCCATTATTAAACTGAAGTTCTAGAATAAAAGTCAAATAACTCTCATGGTGAAAGTGAGCTAATTAATCAATAATGGATTTCTTTTTTTATTCTTTTTTTTTTTTTTTTGAGACCGAGCCTCAAGCTGTCCCCCTGTGTAGAGTGCCGTGGCATTACAGCTCATAGCAACCTCCAACTCCTGGGCTCAAGCGAGTCTCCTGCCTCCGCCTCCCAAGTAGCTGGGACCACAGGCGCCCGCCACAACGCCCGGCTATTTTTTGTTTGCAGCCGTCATTGTTGTTTGGCAGGTCCGGGCTGGGGATTCGAACCCGCCACCTTAGGTGTACGTGGCTGGCGCCTTAGCCAGTTGAGCTATAGGCGCCGAGCCTCAATAATGGATTTCAAAGCAGCAATTCAAATAATAAGATAAAAATTTTAGAAATTAAAATTTTAACACATTCTAAAATCATAATTATGCTATAAGATCAAGATTTCTAATTTTTTTACTTTTACTTATTTACTTTTCTTCTAATCTCATTATCTTACAATTCCTTCCTAAGGGAAGGAGAAAAAAGAAGCTAAAGGTTGTTATGACACGTATTTTAAGAAATTCTTCTTTTAAGCTAATAAATTTTAAATAAAATTAAAATTAATATTTGAAAAAGGTACTTGACCAATACTTAGAAGGAAATAAAATTTTAAAATTATATGAAGAAAGAAAAATTATATAAATACTTTTCTGATAAGATTGTTGACCTCATACAATATAGAGAGAGCACAAAATGATAAATTTGAAACTGAGGGAAATGCTGTAAGATCCACTGTAAGACCTACAGGAAATTCTCATTTAAATTTTTTAAACACAGAATAGCTTTGATTTTGAAAATAATGTTGTTTTTTTCCATAGCAGAAGAATTCTACCTTAAGTTTTCAAAAACAAATGCATTATGACAATTTATTAGAGTCAATGTAAACATGTCTCCAAAATAACTTTTATATCTGACCTGGTGACTATAGTTAACAATATATTATATACTTTTTTTTTTCCTTGAGACAGAGCTCACTCTGTTACTCTGGGTAAAGTGGTGTGGCGTCACAGCTCACAGCAACCTCAATCTCTTAGGCTCAAGACTCAGCCTCCGAAGTAGCAGGGACTACAGATGCTGCCACAACACCAGGCTAGTTTTTCTATTTTGAGTAGAGAAGGGGTCTCACTCTTGTTCAGCCTGGTCTTGAACTCCTGAGCTCAGGTGATCCACCTGCCTGTCCTCCCAGAGTGCTGGGATTACAGGTGTGAGCCATTGCACCTGGCCAACATATTGTATACTGAAAATCACTGAGAGAACAGATTATAAGTGTCCTTGCCACAAAAAATAGTATGTGAGGTAGTATATATGTCATTAGCTCAAATTAGCCATTTAATAATGTATACTGTTTCAAAACATCAAGTTGTACAACATAAATATATGCAATTTTGTAAGTTAGAAAAATAAACTATAAAAACAAAAATATTAACTTTTATACCTAAAGGCCTAAAAAGATGAAATATGGCAAATACATGCAAATATACACAGTCCTAATATGACTTCACACATACCAGATATTAGATGCTCTTCTTGCTGCTGGTTCAAAATTCACAAGTGACATATCACAGCCACCAGTCTCATAGAGCGTAGAAGAAAACTTACCTAGCAAATAAATGATTATTTTTAAAGGCCATTAGAATACTCAGAATTTTTCTTCAAGATACATTAAACTTCTTTTTACATTTTAAGAAAATGCTATAATATTTCTTCAAAAATATTTTTAAAACAATGATCTGCACGTAATTCAGCATGAGGTAAATTTTTAAAAGTGCTGGACAGTAGGGAAAATGTAAACAGACAGACTTTAAGAGGAAAGGACCTATGTCAGCTGTGCAATACCTATCTTTCTCTTTTTTCCTACTAGCACACTCTATTCAAGTAATCATATGAATAAATTTAATGCCATTTAAAAGTCACCTGACCACTACTTACAAGTGGTGAATGGCCATTTGCAAAGCTGCTTAAGTTCTAAGAAAGTTCAAACTACAGGACAACAAAATTGTGTGACTGCCTCCGGAATGGTAGTTTTTCTTTTCTTTTTTAAAGAAGAAATGAAAAGTCTCAAGCAGGATCTAAGGAAGTTTAGTGAATTGAGATACAACAATGTCAGTGATAATTAAATTACAGCATTTAATGAACATTACTAATTGTATGATTCTACCACAGAGCTCTATGAAAAATTTAGAAATAGCAATTGCTACAGCCAAATTATCTTTACAAAACCAAAAAGGTTTAAAAATTGTATTGGTTGCTAATGAATTTACGTTAAAATAAAAATAACTCTCTTAAAATGAACTTTATAATATGAAGTGATTTTTGATAATGGAATTTTAAACTCTACACACTGCCTCAATGCATTCGTCATCTTTGAGGATCTTGGGAGCCATACTGATGGTAGAGAGGGAATATAAATAAATTGATCTAAATTTCCATGAGGGCAGTAAGGTAAGTATACAATTCTGTAATCATTTGAGTCCAGGCTACTTTCTGAGTACGTGATTTCTGTATTACTAGCTGGAATTACTGAGGAATTGAGAATTACTCAATTTCAACTTGTGAAGAGCTAAAGGTCAGAGTTTTCCATGCCTTTGACGCAAACAGTATACAATAAGGATTTTTAAATTTAATTACTTTTTTAAATGACAATAAAAGGACTCCATACTATACTAATAATATAACTAAGGGCTTACATAATATCTCAAGTACTACTTCATTTTTTAAATATACTATAACCAGAAAAAAATACTTCAACATATACAACTGAGTATTTTCTATTGGTCATGGATAGAATATGAAAAATTTCATTTTATTATGATGTTAAAATGTTCCAGCAGCACTTTTTGTCAGAATAATATATTCTTGAGATAAATGAGAAAAATGCTATAAAACACTGTTCACTCGCTGTGTCGTTTTCAAGGTTAATCAGCATGTGCATTATCCCAGCCTGCTTTTCTCTTGTTAGTCATGAGACATTGGGTCTTAGCACCACTAACAGAAACCACATTAATAAACTGAGACAGCAGAAATTGTCAATTTGGCTACTTCATAGATATACTACTGTAAGGTTTTTTTTTAAGTAGTAGGGTAAGCTGCAGAAATCTCTAGTGAAAGAAGTAAAATTAGCCCAACTAAAATTTTTGAATTATTTTAAATTACAACTTTCTATGCTATGCTTGTTTCTTCTCATTTATCATGGATAGTCAAAAATTAGCTGTGCTATCATAATTAAACTTAGATTAAGAGAAAAAAGAAACACCTTATCAAAATCATAGATTACATAAATACAGAATTATAAACTTATATTAAATTAACAAATCACAAATTAACAAAGAATAGGGAGAGCTTGGCTGCTGTGTGTGAAGCTCAGTAGGAATGGAATGCACAAACTTATGTATTATAACACATAATTTGTATGTATTTTAAAATAATTCTATATTTAGTAGAATTAAAATTATTACACAATATTCTAAGTACCTGGGGCCTTCTAAAGAATGTTTAATAATATGATTTGTTTGGGGTACATTAAAAATAGAACTTACATGAAACAAAGATCAACTAAAGATCTTTGTACTACCATTACCATTTGGCCTTTTATGTACAGATTCTAGCATTAAACCTATATAGAAACAGTGGCATTTTAAATAAATATACACATAAACACAAAGAATGCAAAAGAAAGCCTTTGTAGACCAAAAGAGAGCTAGAAAAATTAAATATTTTTATTACTACTTAAATCTATAGCTCTAAATATTTCTATACAAACCAGCAACTTTAAACAAAAGCATAAAACATATCTATAAAGGGAAACTATGATTTTAACAGACGCACATGGCTTCAACAGTGCTTTTATTTTCTTCCTTAAGAAGTTTTTGTTTATCTACTAAACCTCAGAAGCATGTTCAGATTCTTAAAAGTGCACATGGCACTTGTCAGAACAAACTAATATGGTAATAAGGCTTCAAGGTACTGTTCCCAATTTAACTCTAAAAGAATAATTTTGTCCCTCATATTTTTGGGTTTGGCAACTGACAGCACCTCAGAAGTACAAATCTTATTCGTAAGAGAAACATATCAGAAAAAATTACACTAAAAAAATGTGTAGTTTAAGGTGTTAGTGAAAAACTTAGTAACATTTTAATATGCGAATAGGATAATTTACTGGCAGCTTTAAAAATAACTGAAACAGAAGTAAGTATATATATTACTATTGGTTTATAAAGATTACGAATATTTTAAATTTGTACAAGTTTTCTTGGCATGCACAGCAATTTTACATATCCCATTTGAGATTAAAATCATTATATTTAAACTTTAGATCCAAAGTAAAATGTGCCCTCGTTAACCCTATTTTAATATTATTCTGCAATAAGAATAATACTTGAATTTAAATGCTGATTATTTCTAATAAATACAACCTGGGAAGAAAGAAGATCAAACAAATGTGTCTTTCTCACTAAGCCATTTCCCCATGAGTCAACTCCCAAGTCATAATTAATTGTATCTGATAAATTAAATCATGGCTTTGTCATAATTTAAGAAAAGAAGAAAAAAATCACTTTTCATCACATAAAACTGGAAGCTGGAGTTTCAGACTTGTAAAAATGATGGTGGACATGAGATGGCATCTCTAAAGATAAAATAAGCAAGATACCTGGCATTTTTCAGTTTTGAATGTTCAAGAATGACTGTTACTGTCTATGAAAATTAAATTTTTAATTACATAGAATCATTTTTTTGAGGTAGAATTTCAGAGCGACCACCATAGGTCAGCAAGTGATGACAGCAGGAAGGTGAGTAATACTGGACACCGACCTGAAGACCAAGGACACTTAGAGCATTTGACTAAAGCCATTTATGGGACAGTAGCAGACAAATTCTAAACAAACCCTGGCAAGAGACAGTAAGGAAAGACCTGAGATTCTCTAACTCATCCAAGCAGCAAAACTCCTCACCACACGAGGTGCATCAAGAATTTTAAGAACAGGACAGCGATTATAATCAAAAGAAGTTTTTAGACACGATGGTGGACGTGAGACACCAGCTGCCAGATGGTCTTGTAAAGAAAGAAAAGCTTTACATGAAAACGGAAAATCAAACATAGATGTGGTATTATTCCAAAGTGCCAGAGCCCACCAGAGATTCCACGGGAAAAAGTAGTGGAACAGAAAATGAAGGAGCAAGATAATGGCAGAAATCATACCCCAAGAGGCATGGAGTCCAGAGGGCAAGTGGACGGGTTTATTTCTCCCTTCTCCACAGTCTTGGAGTCACTGGGCTCCCAAGCTGCAGGAAGGCTCTTCTACCTTCACAAGCCCCGAAGCTGCTGCCCCCAGTGAACTGAGAGTATCCTGAGGACAAAGCACCAGGCTGCCAATAATACCGTTGGGATCATTTCCCATGACCACTGACTCAAGCTGAGATGGCAGGCACCATATTGCATCTCCATCCACCCTGCACATTTGTCCTCCCCAGAGGGCTTCAGCCCCTCAGTTTTCATCTCACTTGTTCCCACACAAACATTTCCCAAGTCTGGCCCATACTGCAGGAGCCACAGGGGATCTGCACGACCGCAGAGCCTGGACATGTCAGGTGGGCTGCCTTCTGGAGAAAGGGATACAGATGACCAGAGAGCCAGCCTTGTTCCATTCAGGCTCTTTTCCTCCCTTTCATCTGTTGTGGCTACAGAGAGATGACTGAGCCAGTGCTCACAGTAACTGCTTTTCCCCTCTGTTCAACACAGGGTAGGGCTCAAACTTTCTAGACTCTTTTTCTCCCTTTTCACTCCCCACCCATGACTGTCAGGAGAGACATTCAGCAACCACACTGAAGCTTCCACAGAGACCTTTCCTTTGGGAGTCCTGCAGCAGACTGAGCTTACCAAAGCAACCTTAAGCAAAAAGAACAAATTAGGAGGCATCACTTTACCAGACTTCAAGCTATAGTACCAGGCTATAGTAACCAAAACAGCATGCTACTGGCATGAAAACAGAGACATACACCAATGGATCAGAACAGAAAATCCAGATACAAAACCATCCTCTTATTACCATCTGATCTTTGACAAAGAAGACAATAACATACCCTGGGAAATAGAATCCTTATTCAATAAATGGTGCTGAGAGAATCGGATAGCCACATGTAGAAGACTGAAACAGGCCTGTACCTCTCACCACTCACCAAAATTAATTTCATGCCTTAAACTTAAGGCATGAAACAGTAAGAATTCTAGAAGAAAATGGTGGACTAACTCTTAAGAAATCAGTTTTGGCAAAGAATGTACAAAGAAGACCACTAAGGCAACTACACCAACAACAAAAAGTAACAAATGGGACCTGATTAAGTTAAAAAGCTTCTGCACAGCCAGGAAAACAAAATCAGTAGAGCAAAAGACAACCTACAGAATGGAAAAAAAATATTTGCATGCTCTGTCAGCCCTATAAAGGGATGATAATCAAAATGTGTGCAGAAATCGGCAAGCAAAAGTCAAACAAATCCACAAAAACGTGATGAACATTTCTCAAAAGAAGACAAATGGCCAATAAACTTACGGGGAAAAATGCTGTCTCTAATCCTCAGAGAAACTGAAATCAAAACCACAATGA